TCTTTTAAACCGGGATTCACTGAGTGTTGAGCTGGTTTTGGATGCCTGGTGGGCTGCTCTGGAGACAGAGATACCCCATTCACAGAATAAGCAAAGCAGAGGTCCTGTCTGGACAAGTCTCTGCACCCACAGCTGCCTATGTATCAGCGCCTGTGAAGGACCACCCCGTCAAGCTGAGAAAGCATTCGAGTTCCCATGACTCATTCATATGAAATTAACGGGTAGCAGGTTTAAAACTAATAAAAGAAAGTTCTTCTTTACACAGCATGTAGTCAACCTGTGGAACTCCTTGCCAGAGGAGGCTGGGACTATAACACAGTTTAAAGAGAAGCTAGATAATTTCATGGAGGTTAGGTCCATAAAAGGCCATTAGCCAGGGGATCCCTGGCCTCTGTTTGTCAGAGGCTGGAGAGGGATGGCAGGAGACAAATCGTTTGATCATTGTCTTCGGTCCACCCTCTCTGGGGCATCTGGTGCTGGCCACTGTTGGCAGACAGGATACTGGGCTAGATGGACCTTTGGTCTGACCCAGTACGGTCGTTCTTGTGTTCTTATGTTCTTATTCCTTAAGCTCCTTGCTCAAACTGACAAAGAAGTTGTCATTTGGGAAGGCAGTTTTGGGGCTAGAGGTTAACGCAGGGGTGAGCAAACGTTTTTGCCTGAGGGCCACACCTGGTATGGAAACTGTATGGCGGGCCACGAATGCTCACGAGTTTAAAAATTCATGTTTAAATAGCAACGCCGCAAGTTTGTTTCAAAATCAACACTATTAAAATGATCCTCAGGAACCAGGCACTGTTAGCAAATTACGGGACATCACATTCCCAGGCTGTTTGTTGATTTTACCCCCAAGTTTGCTTCTGTCTGAACACACATTATATGTCAGTGTACTGCACTAGGTAAAAGTTTGGTAGGTTTCATATTTATTGTTGATTTTTTTATGAGCAGTCATCAGCTGTGTTGAATCACCTGTTTCTCCATTTGGCTGTGGAAATAACCAAACTATATTCAAACTGTTTAGCTTCAAAGTAAAGTAATTAAGTAATTAAGCAATTCCTGGCCCTGGTGGGAGGGTTGGTCGGGTGGAGTGGGATAAATCCCGAGGCCGAAGCGCAGCACTGGAGTTCAAGGGTGGGATTAAAAGGTGTGATGGGCTTAACATGGTCAGTGGGCCCTAGCTCCCCCCTCCCCATAGTTTAAGGGCATTCAACTCACTTCATCTACCTCACCAAGGAGTCAGCAAATGGTAGCAATATTTGCTTGCTACTGATCTGCCTTAGACTAGGCAGAGGAGCTCCTATTTTATATTCCTTGTTGTCAAGTGCAATAAAAAATAGATTCCAGATTCACTGAAATTGTTTTTAGTGGGAAATTCTCCAGGTTATAAAAATAAGATAGATGCAAACAGCTTCCTTCTCATAATTTACATGCTTGCAAAACAGAATCCGGCAACTACTAATACATGGAAATCAACGTTTCAAGGCCAGTGTCCCTACTCAGTTGCCAAGATTTCCTAACCAAAAAAAATAAAAAAAAATTAGATAACAGATTAAACAGGACAAGGGAAATGAAAACAATTCTTCACCATGGGAAAAAGAGCCCAAACAACTTCCGAAGGCAAACCTGCTGTCTCACACCCTTCTGAAGAGAGGAGCAAGATGCCCACAGCACTTTCAGAAAGGGTAAAGCGGTGAGATGTTTCCACTTTGAGTTGTTTGCTCTTTTTGAAGTACACACTGAATGTAACTCGGGTAAAACGTGTCTGTTTGATAGCCCACCAGGCTGAGGTCATCTATTCTCCCCCCACCCCCGCCACGGAACGGCTAAAAAAAGAGCAGCCTTTGTGCAAACTTCCTACTCACTCATTCCCAGAAAACATGCCTCATTCTGACTATGGAGAGAGCACTTCCATAGAAATGAAAGGGGAGCTGAGTTTCCATAACCTGTTCAGTTCCTGGCAAGACTGCAAAGGCAGCAAGAACTTACTGGCAAATGTGACACGAAGTCTGGTCCATCATTATACCCCCCCTTGCTGTCCTGCTGGAGCATTCCACACAACAGGTCTCCCACCACCTCTGTCAAAATGGCCGCCCTTCCGGGATGGAATTCCCTGGCCTGAAAAGGATTCTCCTTAAACTACCTGGAGGGTCAACACTTTTCAGTCTTCCACCCCGACCTGGAAGCCGAGTGCTGCCTCAGAAGCATTCCTAGTCTGCAGGCTAGGAGATCACAGAGACCTAAGCTAGAGAACAGAACAGCATTTTGAGAACTTTCAACACAACTCAGAACCAGGACTGCAGCTGTAGCGATGATAGAGAGGTGACATTTCTTACAGAAGCCACTGCTGCTTCTGTTTTCGGAGTTTTATCATGGAGGTTTACAATTAACGAACTGACAAGATGTGCACCGGCTAAGCTCTCTCAGATAATCCTTTTGTATGCAACAGCAAATATCTTCCCATCCCTTTACCTCCACCCAACAATGTTGTTTCCTCCTTCAGCAACATAGTATATTATACAGCCCAGTGGTAGGCAAATGGGCCGTAAGACTGGAGTAACAAGATGGTCTCTTGGGACAGGGTAATTTTCCTAACTCTGCTTTTGTATCTAGGATTTGCAGGATGTGTTGACTGAACTGTAGCAGCGCTTTAAATCATAGAATCATAGAATACTAGGACTGGAAGGGACCTCGAGAGGTCATCGAGTCCAGTCCCCTGCCCTCATGGCAGGACCCAGTACTGTCTAGACCATCCCTGATAGACATTTATCTAACCTACTCTTAAATATCTCCACAGATGGGGATTCCACAACCTCCCTGGGCAATTTATTCCAGTGTTTAACCACCCTGATGGTTAGGAACTTTTTCCCAAAGTCCAACCTAAACCTCCCTTGCTGCAGTTTAAGCCCATTGCTTCTTGTTCTATCCCCAGAGGCCAAGATGAACAAGTTTTCTCCCTCCTCCTTGTGACATCTTTTTAGATACCTGAAAGCCGCTATCCTGTCCCCTCTCAATCTTCTCTTTTCCAAACTAAAAAGCCCAGTTCTTTCAGTCTTCCCTCATAGGTCATGTTTTCTAGACCTTTCATCAGTCTTGTTGCTCTTCTCTGGACCTTCTCCATTTTCTCCACATCTTTCTTGAAATGCGGTGCCCAGAACTGGACACAACACTTCAACTGAGACCTAATCAGCACAGAGTAGAGCAGAAGAATGACTTCTCGCGTCTTGCTCACAACACACCTGTTAATGCAGCCCAGAATCATGTTTGCTTTTTTTGCAACAGCGTCACACTGTTGACTCATAGTTAGCTTGTAGTCCACTATGACCCCTAGATCTCTTTCTGCCATACTCCTTACAAAAGGGGTGCCCAGCTCTCACAGTCAGTGTTGGGTGCAATCAGCAGGCACCTCACTTCTCGTGCCCTGGCTTTAATCCATGTCACTTCCATAATACCAGTAGGAAAAAACCACAGAAAAAAAGTGGAATCGTGGACAACAGTAAATACAATTTCTCAGGGGCCACACACAGAACCCTGATGGGACACACTGAGGGGTGGTCCGTGAGCCAAGGGAGACTAGGTGGTTGCCTAGGGCGCCACTGGCCCGGGGCACCCGATGATGACGTTGTGGGTGCCTGGGTGCCCGATGATGACGTCATGGCCATTGACAGCCGTGCAGGCAGGGGTGCCAATCACGCCTTCCGCCTGGGGCACCAGCTGCCACAGCCCGCCTCGAGCCGCTCCTGGACACGCCCAGTCGTCAGGCAGCAGGTTGCCCAACATGGGTATACCCGCTAGCAAACCGTTCTTAGGCCATTCCCATTATCAAAACGTACCATATTGTGCGCACACAAAAAAGATGGAATCAAAGGCAATGGGATAATTTTTTAGAATGAAAAAGAATGCGAGACATCGTTCTAAAACCCAACTCAGCGGTATGAGATAAGGTTGCCCGAGTGAAAGAAATGCTAAGCATGAAGTGAGAAATGCATTTCAATTAGAGTAATAGCAACCTCCCTAGAGCTGGCCAAGTAATCAAAGAAAACAAGTGAACATTGATCATCGGATCAGGAAAGCTTTTGTCTTGTCTTTTAACGTGGGCTGATGTTAGACAGACACATCTGTTGGGTAGTTTTGCTGCACATCCTCTAATGTGATCTATGCCAGTGTTTCTCAATCTTTTTTTTTTATAAAGTACCCCTTTTTCAATAAAAAAAAATTAATAAGTACCCCCAATATCTACAGTTTTCAGGCACACAAACATTTCTCTACCATTGCAACACATTTGTTTAAACAACTTAATTGTAGCTGGGTGGGCGATAAAATTGTGGGGTGTAAAAAGTACAAAAAGAATAAAGCACTGTAAAACTTAACACAAAAATTCAGTTTTCTCCAAATTTCAGTTGTGTTGACGTACCCCCAGACGTCTCTCGAGTACCCTAAGGGTACTTGTACCACTGGTTGAGAAACACTGATCTATGCCATCAAGTGCCAGCAATGCCCCTCTGCCACGAAGACAAGACATTGAGGTGTGCTGGCTGAGGGCATGGCTAGACTACACAGTTGGTATCCCAGAAGAACTGTTCTGCATCCAGGGAATGCTTTTGTTCTTCTGCTTTTTTTGTGGAAGAGCAAACATGCTCTTTTAGAAGTCCCTGTATTCCTTGTTCCACGAGGAATAAGGGGGCTTCCGAAAGAGGGTTTTTTCCTGACATTTGGCCCAGTCTAGACAGGCCAAATGTTGAAAAAGCCTCTTCCAACAAAAGAATCAGAAAAAAAGACAAAAGAAAACCCTAACCCTAAGCCTCTTCCAACAAAAGAATCAGAAAAAGCTAGCAAAATGCGCTCTGAATTTTGCGTAGCTTTTTCCGAAAAACTGGTGTAGTCTAGCCATACCCTGAGAGTGGAGCTAGAATATGGCTAGAAGTGGTGCCCTCCCCGCAAAAGAAATGTGCAGACACATGTTCTTTCTCTCTTTTTTGTAGCATCTCCTAAGGACAGTCAACTACACCTGACTGGTTTTCCAGCAGGTAATTCATGGAACATTACACTGCAATTGAAAAGTTAGCACGGTCAGAAAAACGAAACATTCTCTAGCTACATAACCGTAACAAAGCAAGGAGGAAATATTTAATCAGACAGCTGTGGGAGCCATGGAGTATTCAAGATATAAGTATACAACCCCTGTTTGGTTTAAAGGAAGATAAATCTTCTTACTTGGTATTCATTACTGGATAACCTCCGTTTACATTTCTGGCACGTGGTCATGTTATTAACACATCCATTCTCCAAGTGATCTGCAAGCTTCTTTCTCATTACCATATGTCCACAACCGGTATGGCAAAGGATTAAAGCATATTCACAGAGGCTCTGATGGTCCTGGAAGTTGAAAGTGATAAACAAAGATGTAACCTTGAGCAGATAGAGCTGTGTCTACAAATGGCCTCCATTCTGCTTACGGGAATCTTTCTTTGCTCCACGCCAACTCTGTGAACGGGCAGGTTCGCCAGCCCACTGTCTGACACACAGAACCGGGAGTGTGATCCTCGGCTCGAGCTGATGTACTTCCTCCCTCTCATTGAGACAGCACACTAAAAAGAAAGGTGTAGCACAGGCGGCAGTAGCACAAGCTAGTCACCTCCAGTATAAACCCTGCCCTAGAGCTAGATGAATTCATGGACGACTGATCCATCAATGGCCACTAGCCAGGATTGGCAGGGATGATGTCTGGAGCCTCTGTTTGCCAGAAGCGAGGAACGGGCAATAGGGGAGGGATTGCGTGATGATTCCCTGTTCTGTTCACTCCCTCTGGGGCATCTGGCACTGGCCACTGTGGGCAGACAAGAGACTGGGATAGATGGACCTTTGGTCTGACCCAGTTTGACCGTTCTTATGTTCTTACATACTCGTCCATGCACTCTGCACTACTATTGTTAATGAACCAGCTCCGTAACAGCTAGCACGAGTGTGCACAGCTCCAAGTGCTGACATAGGCCCTGCCAGGTTCCTGGAGGCTCTGCTTTAGTCTTAATTTAAAACAACACACAAAGTTTAGTGTCAGTTCTCTCCTGAGCTGGCTCTTTTGAGGGTCTTCCTTGCAAAGACCTGCTCTCCCAGTTCCAGCCTAGCTCCTGGCCTTAGAGACTCCTCATGGTTAAACACTGGAATAAATTGTCTAGGGGGGTTGTGGAATCTCCATTGCTGGAGATATTTAAGGGCATAAGAACATAAGAACGGCCGTACCGGGTCAGACCAAAAATCCATCTAGCCCAGTATCCTGTCTGCTGACAGTGGGCAGCACCAGGTGCCCCAGAGAGGGGGGACTGAAGACAATGATCAAGCGATTTGTCTCCTGCCATCCCTCTCCAGCCTCTGACAAACAGAGGCCAAGGACACCATTTTATCCCCTGGCTAATAGCCTTTTATGGACCTAACCTCCATGAAATTATCTAGCTTCTCTTTAAACTCTATTATAGTCCTAGCCTTCACAGCCTCCTCTGGTAAGGAGTTCCACAGGATGACTACACGCTGTGTGAAGAAGAACGTTCTTTTATTAGTTTTAAACCTGCTACCTACCCATTAATTTCATTTGGTGTCCTCTAGTTCTTCTATTTAGGGAACTAATAAATAACTTTTCTTTGTCAGCCCTCTCCACACCACTCATGATTTTATAGACCTCTCTCATATCCCCCCTCGGTCTCCTCTTTTCTAAACTGAAAAGTCCCAGTCGCTTTAACCGCTCCTCATATGGGACCCGTTCCAAACCCCTAATCATTTTAGTTGCCCTTTTCTAAACCCTTTCCAAGGCCAAAATATCTAGACAGATTAGACAGACACCCGTCAGGGATGGTCTAGACAGTATTTGGTCCTGCCATGAGGGCAGGGGACTGGACTTGATGACCTCTTGAGGTCCCTTCCAGTTCCAGTGTTCTAGGATTCTATGGACTTTTCTCTTCCCTAGTCAGACTGCTCAGGAGCAATAATGAGCACAGACTATTCTGGCTGGGAAGGGGAGCAAGCAGAATATCTCTACCCCTCGATACAGGGGTTCATATATGGACATTCTGTCACGGTCCCCAGGACACAACTGGGCCCTGGTTCTTAACAGCATTGAAAATAATTCTAAAATCCAGTTAACTTTTCACTCTTTGCATTTCTCTCAGCTCATTCAATGAAAATCAATTCAGTCTATTTGATTGTTGTCTGTAGGGGAATATTTCACTGCGTTAAAAATATAATGGGAATATTTCTACTGGTCTGAAATTCTGTAAATTCTCATTTTACAAATATCTAAATTTGGAGGCCAAATGTGATCAGTCGTGTGTCTCTTTAACATGACCCCGATGTTAATGTCTCACTGTAAAAAATTCAACACTTGTCGCATTGCAGGGAGGAAAAGAGCACAGAGTACCAGATTTAAGGAACAATGTAAACAGTTTGAACTACTGGAACTTTCAGTAACGGTAATGGAAAGCAACAATAATTTACAAGGGGCTTACCCCAAGATCTCCATAAAATCTTATAATGCTGCTCAGCTTCAAAATAATCAATCGTAAATCATCAATAATTTCCAATCAACCTGGCTTCACTGTCTAAATCAAAACCTTTAGGGCCAGCTCCTCCACTGATGTAAATCAGTGTAACGTTATTGATGTCAAAGGAACTACACTGATTTCCACCAGTTGAGAATTTGGTCCTAAATGTTCCATATTTATATAAAATGTTTATTGTCTAGATCAGGAAGTTTCAAAGTTGGGTTGTGGGTCTGCTTGGGTAAGCCACTCGCAGGCCACAAGACGCTTTGTTTATCTAAGCATCCAAAGGCCTGGAGCCTTGCAGCTCCCATTAGCTGTGGTTCACCATTTCCAGCTAAGGGGAGCTACAGGAATTGGGCCTTACACATTATTTTTATGATCCTTCATCCGGTGTTGAAACAGGGATATAACTAGTTTATGACAGTCTCTTTCACTGAGACTCTCACACGGACCATGTCACAAATGATTTTTTTTTTAAATCAAGATGACTGTTCCAGCAGTGAACTCGGAAATGCCAATTTCAATCACATGCCTTGTTTTCAAATCTGCATTTCT